CCGTATGTCCTATTATTTATCTGGCTGGCTCATGGCTGCCTGACTGACCCCAGATGTCTCTCTCTCTTTCTCCCTCCACTCTCCTTCTAAGTCTAGAGTCCTACTTATTCTCTCTGCTCATTAGCCCTGCCCATCCCTCTACTACCTAATTATTGGCTATTCAGCTTTTTATTAGACCAATCAGGTGCCTTAGGCAGGCAAGGTGAAACAGCAACTCATCTTTACATAATCAAACAAATGCAGCATCAACAAAAGCAACATACCTTTACATAGTTAAAGTAATATTCCACAACATAAACAAATGTAAGACATCTATACATAGTTAAAGTTCTACTTCACAACATAAACAAAAGCAACACACTTTTACATAGGAAAAGTAATAGTCCACAACATAAGCAGTGTAACATACCTTTACACAGTTAAATAGTCTACAACAGTAGAAAGACAGAAAGAACCTACATCCTAGGATAGGCATAACCACAGAAAGGCTCTGTGTTTATAAAACACTTATAAAACCACCTGGCACCTTGAAACATACACTAGGATGATTGCTGAAGAGAGTGTTGTTATCATTATTAAATAGATGTATAAGTTTTGAAGGCCATTATGAAGTGACTTTGCTGGCTTTTGCTTACTCAATTGAGTTTGAATAAATATCTCATAGCAGTTCTTTTCCTTTAGAGGTCAAGGTCCTATCCAGCAGGCCCATGGCAACAAGGATGTCCCTCCTCCCATATTTACCCATCTCAAGACTCCACAGCCCACTGGGATCCAGAAAGGCCAACAAGGGTGGACCACCCTGGAAGGAAATGAACCTCAGTAACTTCCGGGTGTTGATGCTTCCAAGAGTTCAGTTCTAAATGGGTTTCACACAAAAATATTTATACTTCAGGCTGTATTTTACAAACAGCAATCTGTATTTGTTGGTTTCAGATGCCAGTTTCCCCCAGCTCTGGTTATCCTTTGTGTTATATAAACAGAACACAACCATCTGGACCACAACAAGCTGTGCTGAAGTCTGCACTCACTCAACGCCAAAACATCAAAATACGGTCTTTCAGAATTCTGCCTGACTGGAAATTGGAATGAACGTCAAAGCCCTCACAAAGCTGCTCAAAAACTATGCATCAAGTGTTAGAAGAGAGAATTTTAAAAGGATGCCAGAAATGTGCACAGGAGAACACTTAAGCAGAAACAAATATGACCGCATCATGCCTGGTAGCGTCACCTATGCTACGAGTAATTCAATTCAGAATTTCCTGACTTAGCTTGAAAACAACAGAGCCCCAGGAAAGGCATCTCAGACACACATAGGAGCATGGAGAAGAGTCTGCTGGAAGACTCATTCACGAAAGGAAGAAGAAGTTTGAGTCTTTCTACAGCTGGGAAACTTAAAAATTAATACTTTACAGTAACAGCAAAAACAGGCTAAAAGCAAAGACACCAATATCCAAACACCATGGTTTGGAAATACATATAGTATGGCCAAATGAAGGCACCAGGCCATGACTAGTCACGTGTGTTACAAATGACTCACAGGAACCTTAGGAATGAGTGTTCAGCACTGTCTCCCTGATCAAGTCCCAGACTGCAAGAAGGTGTCTTCCCCAACACACTATAAAAGCAATTAGCACCATCAGGCCTTACTCACAGGCAAACACAGGGACCAATGATGCTTTCTGTTTCTTTTTCCTCACTCTAAAATTACCTTCCACCCTAGCAGAGTGCTCAAATGGTCCATCCTTTAGAAAAGGTGCCCATCATCAGATTTGTGGCTCAGATTCATGAAATCTGGACTCTGGAAATAATAATAATAATAATAATAATAATAATAATAATAATATATGACTATGGAAAAACTAGGGGCTAGAGAGATGACTCAAGATGACTAAGAGCACATGCACTGCTCTTCCAGAAGACTTGATTTCAGTTCCAAGAATGCTGGGTCACTCAGGGGCTCACAATTGCCAAGGTATTTAATATTCTCTTTTGACCTCCTCGAGTACCTACATGAATGTGGTACATATGTAGACAAGCAGGCACATATATATATATACATTAAAAATAAACATTTTAGTTAAAAAGGAGTATTGAAACACTGAAGGTCCATGTTAGTTTCCTGATAGTGTGCAACAAATGTCAGTGATCATCTTACAATGAGAAAGGGATTGGGAGGTTTCAGTCCACAACCCATTGGCCAGATGATTTGAGCCTGGGTTGAGGCAGCACATCATGGCAGAGCAGTCACTAACCTTGTGGTTGGGATACAACAGGCCTGGGTGCCACAATGCACTTGAAGGGAAATCCCCCAATGTCCTAAAGAGCCAGTGCTATGTCCTGCCTCTTAAAGGGCCCACACCCTCTTCACAAATCTGGGGAGTAAGCTTCTAATACACAGGCTTCTGAGGGACACCTGATATCCAAATACTAACTAAGCCACAGAGGAAACTGAATATATCATAAGGTATATCTATTATACACATCTATAGTATGTATTATATATAAATATGTATATTATGTATACATATGGGCACATTTGACTAGATCAAAGCTCATTCTACATCAGATTATTGAATACTCTAAAAATGTTCCACAATTGCTCTAAGATTGCGCCAAGACAGAAAACCTTCTGATGGTTTAAGTTTAATGATGTAGCTACTGGCCAACTGTAAAATCATCTCGAGCCAGAGAGATGGCTCAGCAGGTAAAGGCACTTGCTGCCAAGCCTGACAACCTGAGTTCAATAACTGAGACCTACATGATGGAAGGAGAGAACCAACTTCTATACATTGTCCTCTCACCTCCACATCCACAAACAGACACACACACTGAATACATACTGTATTTATTAAATAGATGTATGAATTTAATGTATGTGTTATTAAGGATTCACCTTCTTGGCTATAAATCAGCTTCTCAATCACATGAAATTGGTTCCATCTTATTGTATCATATTTATCAATATATTAGCAAATTATTTTAAAACTAAATACTATCTCATACTGTTACACAGCAACTTTGAGATAAGCTAATTGAAAATATTCTGTAACCCATTTTCTAATCACAACTTAGAAGACCCACATAGACATGACCACAGTCCCACCCCCCCATGCCTTCATCTTTCAGGGTTCAACATTTAAGTTCAGCCAATCAGCTGGTCTTGAATGACACGTGTGCACCTATATTCTCCATGCTAAGACATTCCAGTCTGGAGGGAAGGTCCTTAAGACTCAGGAAGTTCTAAAGAAAGGCTCAGTAAAACTCAGAAGATTCTAAAGGGAGACAATTGGAAACTCAGGAAATAAACAACACAGACTTCCCAGGAAATCCCTTAAACTTACAGGTTGTAGAAAGTCCCTCCCTCCCCAAGGATATGGTTCACAGTGAGGACTACTGTGGATCTGAGACACCCTCCTACCTATCAAACTGCCTGCAGCCATGCAACACTCCAGGGCCCTTGATTCCCTGAGCTGCACCATGCTCAGGTGCATGACTTTCAGTGCAGTTACCTCTGAGTCATTTGTGCCCTCACCCATAATCCTGTAAGTCTCAGATGCACATTTAATTCACCAATATGCAATTGTTACTTTGAGATGTCATCGGTTTCCTGCCCAGGGTGAATTTGTTCACATCTCTCAGGACACAGTATCACTTTTTAAAATAAAATCAGTGCCTTCCTGTGTACCTATTGCTTCAACTAACTAGTTGTAGTCAACTATGAAAGAATAAAGACCTCCACTAAGTCCTCTTTACTGTGACAGTTGGATGAATGGAAGGTACAAGGAGAAAATGGAGAGCCTTATGTCATAGTTTATAGCAAGTATATTTCAGAGCAATTAACTTACCCTGGATAAATGATAATCTGTTTTGTAATCTGCTTTCCAATCCAGGAACAAAATCCCAATTTCTTCACAGCATGTGCTACTTTCTTGCTTTAAATAGCCTGGTAATCATGGCCCTGAAGCTTCTAATCACAGATAATTCACTGCACTTCAAGCTATTTTCAGCCCACAGTTTCAATTGTTCAAGGCCAAAACAATATTGCTACACAGTGTCTTTAAATGGGTTGAAATACAGCCCCCCCACTCGTTTTCTCTGTGGCTCATTAAGAACAATCACAAAAACCAATAAAACTCAGAAACTAAACTTCCAATTAGCTGCACTCAGGCAACAGTGTCTGGACTTCAGAAATAGAAAGACAGCATTTATAAAATGGCAATCAAAAAGTGTTCACATCTCATGCCACATACTTTTATTTTTAAAAAAAAAAGCATTTCCCTTAGAAAATACCAATGGCTTAAACATGGTATAACAGTAAATATTTATAGTTGGGATCCACATATATTCAGGAAGGTTAGGCCCATCCAGCTATCCCATTTGCAGGTTCTGCAATGTAAAATAAACTTCTTAAGGTCCCCAAGTGCAATATTTCCCATGGTTTCCAGGAACAATTTCACTAACTCAAGTTGGCTTCTGAAAAATGAGAAACTAGAAAATGTTTATACAAACTTGGTCCATAGTCATATCAAAGCAAGAAGCTACCATTGTTGGTGAGCAGTAAAACACAATTTGTTACAACCACCAATGCACTCACACATAAGAGAAAAACTCAGATGGCCAGCTAGTGTTCCTTCTCTGGCCATCCCAGAATAGCCATCACCTTGAAGAAGGGGAGGGGTTAAAACAATCTTGCATTGTTCTGAGAATGGGAGGAAGACAATGCTCAGGCATTTTAACACCTGCTTCCTATCTTAGGGAGTACCTCTTACAATCAAGACATACAAACTGGACCTACAAACCAGCAATGACTGGATTCCGTTTCACACAACCTAGTCAGATACACCTCCACCTCCGAGCTAGCTTATACCAGCCAGGCTTTTCGGATCCCAATGACCAATGCAGAGCCAAGTGGCCACATCTAATACCTTCCAAAAGGCGAACACCAAATGAAAAAGAAGGCTGTTGTCAAACCTCCTTGTGCTTCAGAGAGAATGTCTTACCTTGCTCTCTTCTTCTTCAAACACGGATTGGTGAACATTGCAGGCAAACAGTGAGTTGGGGAGATCATTGAAGTCGGTGATTGCTTGAAAGGTCTCTTCTGCAAAGCACTGAGTGACAGCCCAGTCTCTGTCTATGCAGCAGAGGAAGAAAAGTCCCCCATCTTCAGGGATGGATGCCTGCTGCCCCAGGCTCCTCATTCCGATGAAGTAAGATTCTCCCCTCATCCCTGAAGAGGCAAAGACAGATGTGTGTTGGAGTGCAACAAAATCCTTAAAACTGTTGTTTTAGGGCCGCGGTTCTGGGGCTTAAAATTAAATGAATTCAAAGGAACACTCCCTAAGACCACACACACTATCACTGTTACCTACTGGGTCCCAGGAGTTGTTCTAAGTGATTTGCACGTAGCATGTGTATGTACATTCATGCCATTCATGTACAGGTCATAGGTCATACTGGATGTCTCCTTTCATTGCTCTCCACATTTTTTCAGACTGGATCTCTTACTGATCCCAGAGGCTGTTGATTCAGGAAGACTGGGTGGTCAGTGAGCATTAGAGATACATTTGCTACTCTACCTTTCACCCAATTGAGGCTACAGATGCTTAGGTCCATTCTTGCCTTTTTCTATGAGTGCTGGAAACCTAAACTTAGGTCATTGTGTTTGTGTTGTGCTCACACACACATTTTTTAAATTCCTACAATGGTTCCCATATTATCAGTTAAGTAACTTATATAAGGCTAATGGAAAATTGACAGGCTAAGATTGAAAACTATAAAGTATGACACCAGAGTTCACTGTCCTATGCCTGAAGGATGGAGCAGATTAAAACCAGTAGATGTCTGTTCAAGGAAATATGATTTTCTTCATTACGATAACTCCAACATCTAACAATTCGTGCACAATGTCAACATGCACACATGTGTGAGCACATATAGAGAAACACATGCATGCCACATACACCCCCTCATACGACTGTAAGGTGCTGTAAACCAGGCCCAGATCTTGAAAAATCAGTATCATCTAAGCCAATCTATAAAATATAAATGCTCTTCCCAGCAACTGCCACAGAGCCTTCTAGAAAGTTCATCTCAACACTGCTTTCTGACTCCTTACATTCATCATTTTCATAACTCTAAAGTGTTACCCTGACATAGGGTTTCATGGGTTTGGTCAGTGTCTCCACATGTCAGGGATGCCATCTGCTTTTTTCTTTTGTATCTATTTTTATGTCTATAATCTCTTCCACTAGAAGTTCAGTGGATAGCGGCCAAGAAGAGAGAAGACTGGCCCTCTGTCAGTTTGACTGGCAGTTCTAACATGGCTATCAAATCCCCTAGTAAGTGCCCTTCTCTTCCAAACTGGTAGCACATCCTCTTGGGGTAAAGGAGGGAAAGCAGCTACTGCAAGCTTCGCTCTGCCTTCATGAGGTTGAGTGAGATGGAATTTGTGAACCTGAAACACACTGTGGGATGAAGTTGATTTGTAATGCTCATTTTTCCTAGAGAAACTCTGACGGGAATTTGGCAAGCAACGTTTGATGGTAGCACTGCATTATATATGAAATCTGAGACAGAAGAAAACAAATCAGTAACTGGGGCCAGCTAGATGTCTCAGCAAGTTAAAGCACTTTCAGCCGAGCTTGATGGCCTGAGTTTGGTCCCTGAAACCCAAATGATGGTGGGAAAAAAACCCAACTCCCTCAAGGTGTCCTCTAACCTCCATTGTGTGTTATGGCATGGACGAAAGCCCACTCACCATCACCCTCACACACTGAAAATGAATCAACAAAATATAACACAATGTTTGAGATTAGATAACTCGACAACAGCTCTCATGATAAATCACTGAAACTGTGGTAAATGAAAACACAAGACAATTAATTTTGTATTATAAAGTTTTTAGTTGTGTGATGACTACCACAGTTTCTGTAGTGAAAGTGACAAAATGTTTATTTTAAATAAAAACATGACATATTTCAGGGGCATAAATAACCTAAAACGTTGTTCTACAATCTAAAAATGAAAATAGATATTTTCAATTCAAAGGGAAATATCTAAACATCAATATGAAGGGAACTTTACAGCTTAATGACTCAAATTTTAGTATTGTTATTCCAGATAGTTTAACATAATCTATGCAGTAATTATTATTTAATCCCATTAGAGTACTATTTTAATAGCAAAAATAATTGCTGAGAACATCAAAACAGTATTGCGTTTATTAAAGGTATATAGGAAGACTAAGCGTCATAAGGATCCAATGGGCTGAAAACCAGATGAGTATCAGTCCATCTTATTTGAAAAATTACAACTGGATCAAAACTGGTGCCAAAATATTGTCAGATGAGTTCTGAGACCGACTCAATTAATTTTTTGCCAAATAAAAGTAAAACCAATAACGGAACAAATTAACTTAAATGAAGCCAACATTAACCCTCAATTGGAACTCCCTTCCATCCACTCCAGTAGCTTGCACTTCTGTCTAAGCTGTGCGATGCGATTATCTGCATGCGACTTTATTTTAAGTACTTTATTTTGAACAAAGACTTAAAGAGTCAATGCATCTTTGGTGAACAACCTACGCTGCTTGAATGGATAAAGACCTCAGAAGTCTTTGAACGAAGGATTCTAATTGCCCTGGTTTCTCCTTCCTACCTGTCACTGACTCATTTCATAAGCTGGAAAAGACTTTGCCTTCGGTGACTCCATTTATCCTTGGAACTCGAGAGCAAAAACCTCTTCTCCCCGACTCCCTCCAGAAAATTAGGAGGGTCTCATCTTCTCTTGTTCCCTATGTCCTTTATTAAGAGATAAACAGCCACCCTCGGCTAGCCTCTCCCACTCCCCATCTAACGTTCCCTTGGACTGCACGCTAGTTTTTTTCTTGTTCTCCAGCTCTGCCACTCTGCTCTAGGTCCTGCCTGGGCCTGCCCCGACCCGGCAGCACTCTTCTCTCCTTTTCCATTTGAGTGGCAGTTCAGAAGGGAAAGAGTTACAGGTCCCACTCAGTGTCAGCCTACATTATGAGCAGCTAGTGCCCTAATTCTACTCTGCAGAGTGGGTGACGGCTCTTCATCTGGAAGACGAAGAGGCCTAGCTCATCCTCCTCACCTAACAGGTGAATCCTCCCAAGGAAACAAAAACAAAAACAAAAAAAAATCAACATGGGAAAGCATGATTCCCTTTGACTAAATCTTTGATCACCTTTTCATGTTCATATTTCCTCACATGCCTCACTGGGACTAAGTTTTCCATAAACTGTCCCTGTCCCTCAACTGTTTATGTGCCCATCCACCACTTTGTGTATTCCTCCTGGAATCTGCTAGTATCGTGTGGCTTCAAGCTGACTAAATCATGTACAAATAGGTGTCCTCCCCATAAAAACATCTTCTTATTCATGCAAGACCTCTGTTAAAACACTTGTGTGAGGCCAGAAAGGTAGCTTGGGAGGTAGGGGTGCTTACTATGCAAGCATGACAATGTGACTTCAATCCCAGAACCAAGTAGAGGTGAACAGAGAGAACGGAGGACTGCATAAAGTTGACCTGTGACATCGTCAGCAACACCTTGACATGCATGAACACATGTGTGCACGCTCAAGAATACACAATACACACCCACACTTAAAGCTTGAAAACATTTACTGAACTAGGAACACTCCCTTACATTGGGCCTGATACCCCTGCTGCCAGAAAACTGGTTCAATTAGTAAGATAGAAAAGCAATTTCCATGGAAGTCAGAATGCTGCCTTAACTAGCTGTAATTTTTTTTCTGTTTTTTAAATTTAATTTTACATATCAGTCCCAGTTCTCTCTCCCTCCCATCCTCCCATGCCCCTCACTAACCCCCCATCCCACTGCCCATTTACTCCCCAGAGAGAATGAGGCCTTCCATGGGGGATCATCAAAGTCTATAGTTGTACAGAGGGAGGAGCGATGAGCAAAGGGGTCAAGACCATGCTGAAGAAACCCACAGAAACAGAAAACCTGACCAAGTAAGAGCACATGGACCCCAGTCATAAAGCTGGGGAACCAGCATTGGACCGAACTAGCTGTAAATTTAGCTGAATTACTTTTTAGCAGAAAATTTATTTCAAAATACCCAGAAGTTTCTACACATTATTTTTTCATTTCCTAAATTTAACGTAGAGTGTTTTCTTTTAAAAAAATGTGTTTTCTAAGGTTAATTCCCCTGTTTTAAACTTTATTATTGCTGCTCCTCATTATACTTTTGTAAAAGTTAACGAACTGTAATTCTTTTGAAATTTAAATAGAAATATCACTTTTCCTTCACCAACCAAGCACGACAAAATAAAATATAGTAAGATAAAGCAAAAACCATCATATTGAAGTTGGACAATCTGAGCAGGGTGTAGGATGGAATGATGTAGCCAGAAGAACCTTGGTGTGCATGGCAACTTAGAGAAATTCATCTCCCCAGAGGGAAGAAGACTGCTCCCAGAACCTTACCTGGGGCAGAAATAACTCCCACTGTCACAGTCATCAGCAGGGAGCTGCCTGAAAGAGCATGATCTTGGGGTGAACGCCATGATGTCAGAACACAGTCTGGGAATGGAGTCATGTGAGAATTCTGAGTGTTTATGAGAAAACTTCAAGAAAACAAGACAAGAATCTTGTGACCTGGGTTTCTTCAAAACATGGAATTATTCTTGGAACGTGTTTGTGCCCTCCTCCCAGGTGTAGCAGATAGGAGTGACTTTACTTCAGATTACTCATTACTGCTTGACCCTGTTATTCAAGTAAACGTTCATATGGGAAAACATGCTTTTGCCACAAGTGGCATGTCCTTGTGATTGTATGCAGCTGTAACTCAAGAGAACTTTGCTGGTGTGATTTTTCCAAACCCTCAGAGTATAAATCATCTGATGCTCTGAATAAAGTTGGCTGTTACATGAGAAATGAAAAAGAGAATCAGGAGAGGCCAGGAACTCAAATGGGAATGGAAAGAGTCACCAAGATTAGTGTATTCACTGTGCAATCAGAAATGGTATTTTTAAATGTCACATTATGGTAACATTAAAACAAGGAAATATATTTCTAAGATGATCGCTAGCCTTTTGTAAGCATAACTGAACACAAGAACAGAAAACTGTGAGAATACAATGCAGTCTAGTAATGATTAAGCCCCACAACACAACTGAACTGGTTTGCCCTTTTAATTTTCTATTTCTTGATTTGCAATTAAGACCCTTCAGTAAACTTTTC